TGCAATGATACTGGGGATACAATTACAGGATTGGGGATACAAGGCAAGTTCTGACTGGATACAGTGCAAGGGCTAAAGGGATAGAATGCAAGGACTGACTACCCAGTACATACTAAAATTGGGATGTAGAATTACTTTTAGTACCAATTGAAAAAGTAGAAACTCAAATCTTTCTTCCAGGATCCTTCCAGTGAAATTCCTATACACGTTGTTCTATTGCATAATTCACTTTTCTTTTCACACTGGCAGAATATCCTGAGGGAGTGGAGGATGAGAAGAGAACCTTCTGGTTTACTATCCTGGCTTCAACTAAAGACGGATATTAGAACATATTTCAGCCTACGACTGACGTGACTTACGTAGGACAAGCATTTACTGGGACAAAAATTTCGCTCTGTATTGTTAATGGTCTTCCACATTCTACCAACCCACCTACCTACCCCCCCCCCTACCCTCTCTCTCTCTCTCTCTCTCTCTCTCTCTCTCTCTCTCTCTCTCTCTCTTCTCTCTCTCTCTCTCTCTCTTCTCTCTCTCTCTCTCTCTCTCACACACACAAAATCCTCCTCACCATTTTCTGCAATTGGCTGCTGGGTAAAAGATCTTGGTGTGTGTGGAAAATCTGGTAATCCCCGCCACTGCTCTCAACACATTGTTGGTAAATCCCGCGATTATCCCACACTATATTAGTTATATTAGGTGGTTGCTGAACCTGAGAATCGTGGTGCTGTGATGCTGTTGCTGCTGCTGATGTTGGTATTATTGCTGCTGCTGTTGTTGGTATTGTTGATGCTCCTGCTGTTGGTATTGTTGATGCTGCTACTGTTGGTATTTTTTATGTTGCTGCTGTTGGTATTTTTGATGCTGATGCTGATAGAGTTGTTGTTGCTGCTTTTGGTATTACTGCTACTGCTGCTGTTTGTCTTATTCTAGCTGCAGCTGCTGTTGTTGCTACATATACTCTTGTTGCAATTACTGCTATTTATGCTTCTATTACTGCTACGTCTGTTGCTGCTACTGGTGCTGCTTCTGTTATTACTACTAATGCTGCTGCTATTGTGGGTGGAGCTATTGGTGCTGTTGCTGCTATTATTAATGTTACTGTTGCCACTACTACTATAGATATAGAATCGGGCTCTCCTGCAGCTGCTACTGTTTATGACATTACCACAGTTACTGTTGCTACTGCTTATGTTGCTATTACTGTTATAGCTACTGCGGCTGTTGCTGCTATTGCAGCTGCTGTTGCTTTTTGTTACTACTATGGTTGCAGGTACATCTGTTGTTGCTGCAGCTGCTGCTATTGCAGCTACGGCTTCTATTACTGCTGCAGCTGCTGCTGCTCCACTCTTTTCTAAGCAGTTATTGTTGTTTTGCTATTACTGTGTCTGCTGTTTCTCCCTTATTTGTTGCTGCTGCTGTTTCATATCGCGTTGTTGCTGCTGCTGCTTCTGTTGTTGCTGTTTTAGAGTCTGCTGTTGATTTTTTTATCACGATACTGTTGCTGCTCCTTTTCCTCCTGCTGTTGTTTCTCTTGCTGTTGTTGTGTCCGAGTCTATTGTTGATTTTTGTCTTGTGTTATTGTTGCTGCTGTTGTTGTTATTGCTGCTGTTTCTCAGTTGCTGTTGCTAATATTGACTTCTATTCTAACGCTGTTACTTCTGCTGCTGCTGTTTCTATTTCTGCTCTTCCTCCTGTTGCCGTTTTTCCTTTTGTTGCTTTAGATAAATGTTTTTTTTTCGTTTCGAAGCTGTTGCTGTCCTTCCTGCTGTTTCTTCTGTTCCTTGTGTTGACCCTCTGACAGTTCCTGCTGTTGCTGTTTTTCCTATTGCTGCTTCCGATACACTTACTGCTCCTTTTGTTGCTCGTGATGCATCTGCTGTTTCTCTTGTTGTTCCTGTTGTTTATGATACAACTGTTGTCCCTCCTGTTGCTTCTAATCGAGCTGCTGTTCCTTTTGTTTTCTGTGATGCAACTGATGTTCCTTCTGATGCTTCAATCAGCTGCTGTTGCCTCTGGCGCAGCTGTTTAGGTTGCTGTTTTTGTCACTGGTGTTGGTCTTGCCACTGCTGCTGCTGTTGTTGCTGTTCCTGCCACTGGTGTTGTTATTGCGGTTGCTGTTGTCACTTGTGCTGTTGTTGCAGCTGCTTTTCTTGCTAATGCTGTTATTGCTGCTGATGCTGCTGCTGTTGCTGTTCTTGCCACTGATACTGTTGTTGCTGTTCTAGCCACTGATGCTGTTGCTACTGTTTTTGCCACTGTTGATATTGTTTGTGTTCTTGCCACTGCTGTTGGTGTTCTTGCGACTGATGTGTTGTTGCTGCAGCTTTTTTGTCACAGGTGCTGCTATTGCTGCTGTTCTTATCACTTGTGCTATTGTGGTCTGCTGTTCTTGGAACTGGTTCTGTTGCTGTGTTACTGTTTTGCCGCTGTTGCTGTTTCTGCCACTGTTGCTGTTGTTGCTGATGCTGTTTTCCGTATTACTGGAGTATTTCGTAAAATGCTACTCACGAGTCCTTTTCACTTCCTTTACATCTACTCTTCCTCCTCCTCTATCTTTGCATCTCCTCGTCCGCCCCTCTTCCTTCTCTGTCTGTTTTTTCCTCCTCCTCCTCTTCCTTCCCCCTGTCACTTGCCATGGAGTTTTTTTCTTCCGTTTTTAGTTACTTCACCTTCTCTCTCTCTCTCTCTCTCTCTCTCTCTCTCTCTCTCTCCTCTCTCTCTCTCTCTCTCTCTCTCTCTATACCCTTCTCATTTTCTTCTCTTCTCCTTCCCTTTCTACCCTCCTCTCCCTCCCTTCCCTACAACCCTCTCACTTTCCCACCCTTCCTTTCCCTTCCCTTCCTTTTCCTTCCCTTCTTTTTTCTCTCTCCCTTCCCTACCCTCCTTTCCCTTCCCTGCCCTCCTCTCCCCTCCCCTTCCTCCTGTCCCTTTTTTTCCTTCCCTCTCCCCTCCCTCTCCTTCCCCTCCCTTCTCTCCCTCCGTTGCTTCTCCCTCGTCTCATTTCCTCGGGTAATCAACCAAGCTTGTTCTTCTTCGTTCAAGCAGTTAATCGTTGTGGCCACTCAGGCGTGGTCTCGCCAATCAGAAGAAGGGAGAGCCATGTGGTCTCGCCAATCAGAAGAAGGGAAAGCCATGTGGTCTCGCCAATCAGAAGAAGGGAGAGCCATGTGGTCTCGTCAATCAAAAGGGGGAGCCACGTGGTCTCGCCAATCAGAAGAAGGGAGAGCCATGTGGTCTCGCCAATCAGAAGAAGGGAGAGCCATGTGGTCTCGTCAATCAGAAGAAGGGAGAGCCATGTGGTCTCGCCAATCAGAAGAAGGGAGAGCCATGTGGTCTCGTCAATCAGAATAAAGGAGAGCCACGTAGTCTCGCCAATCAGAAGAAGGGAGAGTCACGTAGTCTCGCTAATCAGAAGGGAGAGCTATGTGGTCTCGCCAATCAGAAGGGAGAGCCATGTGGTCTCGCCAATCAGAAGAAGGGAGAACCATGTGGTCTCGTCAATCAAAAGGGGGAGCCACGTGGTCTCGCCAATCAGAATAAAGGAGAGCCACGTAGTCTCGCCAATCAGAAGAGAGAGCCGCGTGGTATCGCCAATCAGAAGAAGGGAGATTCACGTGGTCTCGTCAATCAGAAGGGAAAGCCACGTGGTCTCGCCAATCAGAAGAAGGGAAAGCCACGTGGTCTCGCCAATCAGAAGGGAGAGCCACGTGGTCTCACCAATTAGAAAGAGCCACGTGGTCTCGACAGTCAGAAGTCATCACGTGGTCTCGCCAATCAGAAGGGATATTCACTTGGTCTCGCCAATCAGAAAGGATATTCACTTGTTCTCGCCAATCAGTAGGGAGAGCCACGTGGTTCCTCCAATCAGAAGGTAGAGTCACTTGGTCTTGCCAATCAGAAGGGCAAACCTCGTGGTCTTGCCAGTCACAGGGGAGAGTCACGTGGTCTCGCCAATCAGAAAGTAAAGCCACGTGATCTCGCTAAACACAAAGAAAGCCACGTGATCTCGCTAATCAGAAGGTACTGTCACGTAGTCTCGCCAATCAGGAGAGTCACTCGGAAATGGCAATATAATTACCTCTCACATATCTTCTTAGAATATCAGTATAAGGGAAATAAAATAGGAAATTGAAGCCTCTAGATTTACTTCCCCATTTACCACTAAATTGTGTCTGGAATATAATAAATGATGACTTAGTTTGTTGTTACATTAATAATGATAAAAATGATAATAATGATATGCAATAAAAATGCGATAAATTATAATTTTAACAGTAAGCCGATTACCTGGCCAGAATTTAATATTAATATTATTATATATTTAAATGAATGAGTCGTGAGTTATAACAAAGATGATTATCAAATAATTACGTATCATTCTTTATTATTCATAATTATTGTTGCCACCGATAAGGATTACGTAAATGTTTAAGATAATATTAGGTGGACATTGGGTTATGAATTATCATTTGTTCAATACTTAATAATCACAATAACCGCATTAGAGGAAATGATAATCCACACCTACAGTTGTTCAGATATCATCCCAGAACAAGATGACGTTATACAGTGTTCAGTGGATTGATGAACTGAACACATCGACTCCAGGCTGAGGGATTGATTACCTCAAACTCCTCCTCTCCTTATACCTTCCTGCCTTGTATAAGACTGATGAAGCCACTGTATGACGAAACATTTCTTCAGTAAAGATTCCCATATGTTGCATAAGTGTTTTAATTCTTCAACTTGTCGGTTTTCAAAACCATTCATCACAATAAGAACTCTGTATAACATCAAAGTTATTCCCCTTCCTTGTTACTCCCTCTTCATTATTCTTAAAGCCGTAAATATAACTACGTAACCAATCGCTAACAAAACTCATCCATAATCAGATTTTTTTCTCCATATTTACAATTAGCAGACATTCAAGACAAGAATAATAAAATTCCCCTCTATTATACCACTACAATTATAATATACTTGCCATATTTTCTACTTACAGCTTCAGCAATGTTCCAGTCTCTTTCTCAGTTATTCACTGTCACTGTACGATCATCCAGGGTTCTATCTTGCACCTGAGTTAATAGAATTATCAAAGTTTATTGCTTGGGTAGTGTTTATTCTGTTAGTGGGTTGGATTTGTGAAGGATCTGCCTACTATGGGCCAACAGGCCTATGGCAGTGTTCCTCCTTTCTTATGTTATGTTCTTATGCACCTCAAGAACATAAGAACATAAGAATGGAGGAACACTGCAGAAGGCCTACTAGCCCATACAAGGCAGGTTTTTTTTTTTTTTTTTTTTTTTTTTTTTTTTAGGTCGAGATAATGGTGCCAGTCCAGAGTGAGTTGTGACTTATTCACCCTTGACCATGGGTCAGGGGTGAATAAGCTTCCTAACCCATACAAAAATTTGTTAATTACTAGTTACCAACCATGGCAAAGCCACGTGGTCTCATCAGTCACCAAAAGGAAGACCCCCTGATTCTCTCCTACCATCACCAAATTCATTTTAATATTTCTTCAACTCGGCAGCTACCTCTGGGAAGAGACGACGGAGGTCAGTCACTTTTATTACAATGTGTGTGTGTGTGTGTGTGTGTGTGTGTGTGTGTGTGTGTGTGTGTGTGTGTGTGTGTGTGTGTGTGTGTGTGTGTGTGTGTGTGTGTGTGTTTTGTTTGTTTTATGTTCCTAGTGGATGGGTATATATTTGGTTTACCAGATTAACGGAACAAGTAAACAACATCCTCAGTTTTGCCTCACTGTACCAGATACACACAAGGAGCAGCCGCCTCACACGTCCACCTTAACTAGGTGCCAGATTTGAAATGGCTTAGGCATCCAGCCTCAGAGTGATGCCCAGGGTGGCGCAGGCCTACCACGCATGCATCAACCGAGTGTCTCTGCTATAAGATCAAGAATACTAAATCAGGCTTACAAAGGGTTACACAGGTTCCAATTTTGATAGCTCTGCCCTGCTACGGCTGGGAAACCTTGCACAGCAGTAGCAGTGCTAAACAATAATACACAAGAACATGACCTGTAAGCTCAAATTATCACAAAGAAAAGTCATGCAATTCAACTTATGACACACAGTCTAGTAATACATGAAAGTATACAACACACGAATCAACAATAAATCAATCGTAAATGAATTCAGAAATTGAACACGAGTCTTACCCCCTTGGCTTTGCGCCAATGAGGGATCTGAAATCTTACTTGACTCTCATGCCTGGTATGCCCAGATTGATGACTTGGCCATCTCTTTCTAGGGATATGAACTTGGTATTAAACTCTGCCATGCAGCACTTGAGAATGTGTGCAAAAGTGTCCGGGAGAGCACTAACTTCCCTAGCAGAGCTTCCAAGGGTCTGGCATTGAGATGCCTTGCCACCCTTTAGGACCTCATGTTAAACTTCTTTGTACCCGTAGAGACGTCATTACCGAAGGTTTGAGTGTGTGGGTGAGCATCGCTAGTCACTCGGCACTTAAATGGTTGGGTGCACTTACTCGTGCTCATTTGCTGCCAGTTGATAGTGACCATGTTTTTTTGGGTTTGTTCATAGAACCCCCCTTGAATGTTTTAAAAGGTAAAGCCCCATTTTCAGGGGAGCACTCCAGACTGGAAGTCCTGGGTGGTGATGGCAGTGATTATAACCCCCACAGAAACAGGAGGCCAAGGCAAGAATATGATGAGAGTAACAAAAGGGGGTTGACACATTGGCTGATGTTCCCAGTGTGTTTCCCATCCCTCTCCTTTCCTCAGCCTGATGCCGGGTCCTTACCGTTTTTTTCCCCTTCTGATGTGACTTACAGCAGCTTTGGGCGGACTTGGCTTTCGTGCTATGTCATTTTCGTATTGTCATTCAAAAGCATAGGAAATAGTTTTCACCTCAAGGGAAAAACGAACTGGTGCATTTTGTTTTTTATAACGATGAGCTCCCACCGACCACTGGGGAAATGCTGTTCCCCTGGGGGTTTTATTTATTTATTTTATTTATTTTTAATTTTAGACACTTTCAGAGGGACAAAAAAATACAGAAGACAGCATCCAAAGCCACAACTATGCATAGCAATTACGGGCTGGGTTAAAAATTAACTTAAGATTAACTAAGCAATGATGAAACCTGAAAAAAATTAAGTAAACTGTTACTATAAAACCAAAGGGGTATTACAAAGAAGGTCATAGGTTGCATGCATTGTTGTAAATTCGAGAAGGGGTTTCTGTTAGGAGGATTTAAAAAATAATAAAGTTAGATTGGGTTTTAGGTTTAACATTTATGTGATATAATTGTGAGAAACATTTAAGATATACAATTTATAAGGTTCAGTTATTCAGTATTTATTTGGTTTTGGGTGAGTAAGTGATCTTTGAGAAGAGACTTGAATTTATAAACAGGTAGTGTTTCTTTTATATTTACAGGTAATGAATTCCAGATTTTAGGGCCTTTTATGTGCATTGAGTTTTTGCATAGCGTGATTAAAGGAACTCTTCTGAGAGAGTGTCAATCCCACCGCTGCCACCATCCGTTATGCCTCTATTGGATGGGAAGATCGTGGGTTGACCAGATTAACAAAGTAAAACGCATCCTCAGTTTCTGCCGTTTATTGTACCAGGTGTGTACACAAGAAGCAGCAGCCTCGCAAGTATGTCTCACCCGAGTGCTAAATTTGAACCGCCCTAGGCCTCTAGCCCTAGGGTTAGGTTTAGTTAATTTAATACCTTTGTTATGCATCCCCATCCCCATCCTGTGGGCTGTAGTTAAAAAAATTACAGAGGTACATAATGGGTTCAGGGACTGGGCCTCAAAGTTTTGATAGCTGAAAAAATTACAAAGGTAATGAGGATGCCCGGGGAGGCGTAGGCCTAACATCCATGCGTCAGCAGAGCGTCTTTGCTATGAGAGCACAAACACTCAGGAAACCAGTTGCACGTAAGTGTTAGAAAGAGCTACACAGGTTGAAATGCTGACATTATGTAAGTACGTACGCTCGCGCGCGCGCGTGTGTGTGTGTGTGTGTGTGTGTGTGTGTGTGTGTGTGTGTGTGTGTGTGTGTGTGTGTGTGTGTGTTTGTGTGTGAGAGTGACTGTATGTGTGTGTTTGTGTGTGAGAGACTGTATGTGTGTGTGTGTGATGGCAAACCTGAAAAGGTAGTTGTGAGGCGACCACTGTGTAGTCACCTTCAGAGTCAATGTAACGTGTTCACTCTCACACTGTATCACTCACACTGTATCACTCACACTGTATCACTCACACTGTATCACTCACACTGTATCACTCACACTGTATCACTCACACTGTATCACTCACACTGTATCACTCACACTGTATCACTCACACTGTATCACTCACACTGTATCACTCACACTGTATCACTCACACTGTATCACTCACACTGTATCACTCACACTGTATCACTCACACTGTATCACTCACACTGTATCACTCACACTGTATCACTCACACTGTATCACTCACACTGTATCACTCACACTGTATCAGTAAACAGTTTCCCCTGCTGCATCACTTGTCTTGTCTGCTTGTTTGGCTGTAAACAACAGTAGGCAGTGAGCTGACAAGAACGTATGTGACATCTGGTTATGTTAGCCTAGTTATTATTGACATTGTTAGTAAAAAGGTATATTGGCATTTAACCATTTTATCATCTGGTTTGCTTGTAAAAAATGATAGTATTTTGTAATGAAAACGGATTGCTAGTTAGCGTTTGTCATGCTGTTTGCCCGTTAACAGAGGACACTGATGAAGGTGTTTGGAAAATATAGTTATTTCCAGGGATGTCTGCGTCTTCTGTTAGGTTTACCGTTAAAAGTGTGATATTGTCATGGGTATCTATCATCTGTTTGTTTTACTGTTGACTGTTGTGTCTAAATTGTCTCCTATCTTAACCGCAAACTAAAAATCGCTGATTAACAACAGTGTGAGGTGAACTCTGTTTCCCTTCCCTGTGTCCCCTTCGTTGCTTCCCTGTTGAACAGATGGTGCCGTTGGTCACATCCCTGAATAAACAGGGCACAGCCACCTCGCGTCTCATTGGCACCTGATGGGAGATAGAGTATTGACGTCAGCAGCCTCTATCTCCTCTCTCTCTCTCGTGATTGGTAGTTGATAAGGTGTGGAGATAGGACACATGCTTGTCTCCTCCTACACTGTCACCTGAGACCCCTCGCTCCTGTCATCATGTTCCTACTTGTGATTGGTGCTTGATAGCACGTGACGTCACGACTGAGGCTATATTTTCTCTTGTGATTGGTGGATGATAACACGTTGCGTCACGTGATTGGTGGATGGCCCGTGACGTCACGGCTGTGGTTGATCGCAAGTAACCTCACGACTAAAGTTACCGCTTGTGATTGATTGCTACCCTCTTGTGATTGGTGGTTGAATGAAAATAACCTCACAAATAATCCTAAATTCTCTTATCACTAGTGGATGATAATAAGCGACGCCATATAAACACTTTAATACTCTTCTATGATTGGTTGTTAAGTATCATCATTATGGCCGTGTCTAGTTCACGTTCTGTTTTTTTTTATGTTCCTCCGACCATTATACAACCACACCAACAAGAAAAAAAAAGCAATACCGTGACTAGAACAATAAACAGGTAACCCACAAACTAGAGACCGAAACTTGTGACGACGTTTCGGTCCGACGTGGACCATTAACGTCGTCGTATGTTTCAGTCTCCTGTGTACGGGTTGAGTACAGTCACATCTCTCAGATTATACAAATCACAATCTCCAGATATTATGCAATCACGGCTATTATACAATCACGGCTATTATACAATCACGGCTATTATACAATCACGGCTATTATACAATCAGTGGCCGGGCAACATGGAACCAAGCTGAAGATCAAGAAAACGGTTGGAGAGGCAGAAACAACGAGAAACCAGAAGACTACCGTGGAAACTTCCAACCCATTCTCGGTGCTACCTGACGAATGTGAGTGTTCTACTGGGAATGCCACAACGAGCACCAAAGAAGCATTGGCAGACGTGAGTAAGACATCCCTAGAAACCCCAACGAAGACCATCGAGAACGTCTTGACGA